ATGTTTCTTCCTTCCTCCTAATGATTTCTTTTATATAAACCATAAACAGAACGTTCCTGGAAAGTTTTCATGCATGCTAAGCAAATTTTCTGGTTGACTTCTTACATGGGAAAGAATCACGGTGCTGTAGGATGTGCAGTGGTGTCTTCTAGGAAGCTTTACACTTACAAGTAATAGAATCCCCAAAACAAGCCTAGGCAAATCTTGTTCAGAGACGTAAGACTTCTGATCTGAATGTAAATCTAAAGCTTGCGTGTTTCTATGTTGTATGTTTGGTTAGATAAAACCAAACGAAAAGTAGATTAACGAGCGACACAATATAACAAACACAAACAAAAGGAGCCTGCATCAGCACATACATAAATCGAACAAAATCACAGAAATTTACAAAAACACATAACTGACGTATCCTGAAGCAGTGAAGTGAAGAGACTAATGAAGCGTGAGTGTATGTAGCCGGGGAGTGACAGTCGTTGTAATTCGAACATTTTAGATGAAACTGTGTTGACAGTTTAATCCCGTGGGTGTGAGGGTTCTGAAAGTGAAATTTGAGCGATTTTCAAGGGATTTCCAGACTCAATTTCACCTATTTTGTATGTGATACGCAATAACAGCACCATTTAAACACAAACACAAACGCATATTGAAAATTACCAAAACTGTCATTTTAATAAAACAGTATTGCATTCTACATGCAATCACGAACACACAATGTCACACTGAACTGGATACATAACTTTACATACTGAAAACTTCACACATGCACACTGTTGTGTGTCATCTATTTATTTCCATGCTACGTGGATTTCTATCACGTAATGGGGTGTCGCAGGTCGACATACCTAAAACGGGTACCAGAATGGCTGTCCTAAGAAGTAAAGACGGCCAGCGTAATGCAGACCACATTACCCACCTGGTGCCGACTGTCTGTAAAAATAGGAGCGTTCTTTCCAAATAACCGATAGGCCTAAAAGACGTGAAAATGTATCTTTACATTTTTTTAAAACTATTGTAGTCATACTTTTGTACATATGCCTAGCGGAAATGTGACGGATTCATGCTTCAGTAGATCGTCAAGGAGAAATACCAGAAGAAACACTAAATGTGACTTGACGTAATGTTTATGTATTCGTCGGAAATGACATGTAACCTGAGCAAAGACCCAGACACACGATTCAACCTTCAGACCAAGTCAGTCTGAGCCAGCCCTACTGAACGGACCACTGAGTTCGCAGTGCTGGCCACTACTGTGGCCCAGTCGATTTATGCTGTGTGTTAAGCTTTAAGTGTTTTGAATTAGTTTGTTTGTTTGTTTTAGTATCCAAAAGCCTTGAGTTGTTAACCCTTAGGCTCGATATTTTGGATATTGCAACCTTTCGGCCTTGATTCCATTGTAAACACCATTGAAAACGTGGCTTTCCTGCCTACCCCCGGAATTGAGCCCGGACCACAAAGAGTTCGTCACCCGGTCTCCGCGCAATCCGGTTTAGCCAACTACGCTAGAGAGCTGGGTGTTTTGACTTAGAGATGTTGAATCGTTGAGATTTTTCAGAACTCTTGAGTCAGTTACCTGTTATAGTGCATCGTTTTTGGCAGTTATATTGCAAAAGGTATCACTTCAGACGTTGTTTCGCCAGGTTCCTTTTTTTTTTTACACCAATTCGGTGTGGTTACCCGTACTTTCGATAATGGTTGGACACCGGCTTATTTTTCTGCACTGTTACTGAAACGTGTGGGTATTTGGTGTGTAGCGCTCTTTGCTTCTCCAAACAGTGTGGTCCAACTTACAGAGCGGAACTCCAGTATTTAAGTATTGAATGAATAGTCTTCATATGAGACATTAGGGTGTCTTGGCGTGTATGCATATCGTCGTTAAAGCAACAGCATTAATACTGTTATTGAGCAAATGAATATTTTAATGATTATGAGAAACAGATAGACGTTTATCATCGTTCATTACTCATCGTTAAGGTATTCAATATGGCGGTCTGTTGCAGTTTCATTAGAGTACTATTGTTACTTGTATAATAAAGACTTATTGGGACTTTAGTTATGTATAACGAGGCAGTTCCACACATCATAGCCTAGATAATCATTTGACCAGTATAACTGTACCTAATTAAAATATATTGCTAACTGCCATTTACATGTTTTTATACTATAGGTGGATGTATCCCAAAACACATTGACTTAAATTTTCATGCAAAGAGTCATCAAATATGTTTCCGAACCAGATGTTCACAATACAGATATTTTTCCAGCTTAAGTACTATTAAAGTGAGAACCTTGGGTTTCTTCCCCCTTTCTTCATACGTTTTTAACCTCACAAAACTGCAGGTATTATTGGACTGGCGTACCCGTTAAAGATAGCCTAACTATAACTTAGAGGGAATCTGGACCACGTACCTTGTCTTGACCTGTTTTGCAATCAGCACTAAGATTCTACGGTGTCACGGCATCTTTCAGATTCGGGTTGACAATCGAGAATGACTTCTGATATCTGTTTGTCAAACTGGTCAGCTAGAAGCTCGAAGAGGGTGAGCAGCACCTACGCGCTAAGAGTAGGAACACCCCCGAGATCTATTCTCAAGTTGATTCAATTGTCATTCAGAACGTTTGTGCATGTAGACCTGTATTGTATGGGCAAACCAGCCTTGTGTCGGCTATGTGGACAACATTACACCGGTCGCCTTTGCTTCCAAGGACTGTAATTGGTGCTCATTTTAAGCTGGGCCTTGGGAGCCAAAATCAGTTTAAAAATAAAAGAGAGAGAGAGACCGATTCCATGAGGATCTGAACCTACGACATTTCAACTGGCAAGCGAGTGTTTTGCCGCTACACCACGGCAGCTCCCGATATGGAAGTGTGGCTGGGAATTTTTAAGTTGATTTGTGAAGTATTCTGGCTTTCTGTTTCATGATAAAGACTTCTGCGTAAACGTTCGCTTGTGCCTGCCTGTAGCAGGTCGTTCATAGAGCGTCTCTCCCATCACAGTCCATATTAAAGACACTCGTTTCTGCACAGCTCTTCGCCTTATGCAATTTACAGCCCAAAGTGTCTTGTATATCTTGTGTCCACATTGTTTCTGGCCGGCCCCTGCGCTCTTACCTTATATCATCCCCTCCCTAACTGTACATTTAAATCCACTTTGACGCTTTATATAGCTAACATATTCTAGTTTTCTAAACAAGATGTTGTTTATCAGCCAATTTTCGGTGGTATTTAGATTTCTTAGGATATCAATATTTCTTTTCGTCTTGGTACATGGTATTGTAAGAATCTGTCTATATAATTTAAACTCAAAGATCCATACCTTCTTCCTTAATAATTATCAAATAGTCTACGACTTACATCCATATGTTGCTGCAAGTAAGATAACACTATCTGGTAATATTTCGTGTTTATTAGTTTATTTGACGTAGTAACTTGTAACCGCTTTTAATGACATGGAAAACAAAAACAAACAAATAATATTAAAAGTTTCCCTGCTGGTTTCAAAAACATACCACACCACTTCCTCAACATCATCATTAACACACACGCATAAAAAGAGATACACAGTTCCGTATAACCCTTTAAACAGCACTAACCAGCGGTTCTCACATTTTCCTGCACTTGGACCCCCTGAGGAAACAGTGACACCGAGGCAATCATTACATCAATACACACATTTGTGCTCTCTAATGCATAACGCTTTTAAACGACATACATTAGGCATAGAATGTAGACGAGCGAGAGGTAAGTTGCAATACAACGCGTTAGATAACGTCGAGTAATGGATGAAGAGCGGTTGGACAAAGTGTACGACCATGACTACAAACAAAGAGTGGAATACTTTGCAGGAAATCATCATCATCATGCATATGGCACCTGGTTGTAATGCCTATACTCTCAGTATGAGAACATTCGCAGGTATGCTGTAATTGTGATACTGATCCAGCATGCCCCAGACATTATTAAGTTTGCCTTCTTCAGGTCTAGCTAATTTCAGTACAAAGACAATAATATTTTCGGCAGGTAACTTTGTGTTAATGACCAGAGTTTAAACTGTGGTGGTCCTGAGCAGAGTCAAATAACGATTTCATCAATTATAACATGTGATTAAGGAGAAGGGGTCCTCTCTAGCCAAGTGGTGAGAGTCGTTTGCCTCGCTACCTACAGAGCTAATGAAACTTTTCATTGGACGCCTCGATCATTTGTACAATTTTATAGGGATCGTCTCAGGAGCTACAAAGTTCTTGCTTTATGAGAAACTCTCGCCCTTCTTGGGAGGGATACCAAGCCATATGGGATAAAGCCTAATGCAATGAAGTCGATCATACCTTCTGTAGCTTAATTTAACGGTAACTGAACTCTTTTAGTGCCATGATGTTTTCACAGGAGACGCTAAAGCGAAGACATCCCATTGATGAACAATGATTAATGTATTATTTTCAAAGTAGCAAAACGCACACTAGTAATTACTTTGGGGGAAGACGTAGGGGGTGGGGGGGGGGGGAAAGCAGATTTAATTGTTTTAGTATTCTCTGATTAAATGTAAATGAGAGCACACACTGTACTACGGAGGGAAATCTACTGATAGAGGCACTCACACAACAGGTGTTGCTTGGGATCGAAAGGGTTAATCAAAATGTGCACATTACGATAGGGGAAACAACTGATGGAAAGTGAGTGTAGATTGTTCTCTGCAACCATGGCGCCATCATAATATAAGTATTACCCATCAATGGTGAAGTGTTCCTTTTACCTTTGTCATTTTATTATTTATGCTTCTATAGAGAATGTCAGCCTGCATCTCTAAGTTAAGATGGCTCACCTGTGGGGTCTAAGTAGCTAGGAAGTAAGAACCACTGACGCAGACTTTGCCTGAATATAAATATTGATATAATTTACAGTATAAATAAAAGACATTTGATCTTTGACACATAAAACATTCATCCATGACTATGTCAGTGACCTATGACCAGGTTCACCTCTCGTACACACACAACGGCAACAGTCTATCGGCCACGGATCATGTAAGCTGCCTTCTCCCCGATCATTACCACTGGCGTGTGCGTGTTTCCGGAAACGATGTCTGGCATGATGGAGGTGTCAGCAACACGTAGGCCCTGCACGCCGATAACTCTGAGGAAGATTCATAGATCAACACGTTTGACAGGTATAGAACAAATATAGTTTGATCATTTTGTGATAACTCTGAAGAAGATTCATAGATCAACACGTTTGACAGGTATAGAACAAATATAGTTTGATCATTTTGTGATAACTCTGAGGAAGATTCATAGATCAACACGTTTGACAAGTACAGAACTAATATAGTTTGGTCATCTTGTGATAATTTTGAGGAAGATTCATAGATCAACACGTTTGACAAGTATAGAACTAATATAGTTTAAACATCTTGTGATAACTCTGAGGAAGATTCACAGATCAACACGTTTGACAAGTATAGAACAAATATGGTTTGATCATCTTGTGATAACTCTGAGGAAGAGTCACTGATCGACACGTTTGACAAGTACAGAACTAATATAGTTTGATCATCTTGTTGAATCATTATCACTTTTATCACGTTGTGCTATATTTTTATGTCACCAGTCACCCTTCGAGTTTGTCTTTTACTACAATAGAAAGACAAGGGGGACATGGATGATACAGGAATTGGGTTGATTCGTGGTAACATAATGTCGTTGACAGTGTTGCGTTGAGGGGGAAAATCAGGAAGGAATTGGGACTAGAGATTGTAGAAAGGTTGAGAGCTGAGCATCTAAGAAGAAGAGTACTAAATAGATGTGATGGCAACAATGGTTTAAAATCCACACTCTCTAATTGTGAAAGAAATTTCTAAACGTGGGCGGGTCTTGCAAGTCGCACTCACCATCAACATTGGCTATGTTTATCATGTCTCCACATAACACAAAATAGCACTAACGTCTGGAAAGACATATAGGTGACAGAAGTGGCCTGCTGTCTATTCATCGGTTCTGTTTTATCCCTACAACTGTTTAGATATCCTTGATGACATGCAGTCTAGCACCTTTGGCCTCTGTTGTCAACGTTCGCTTTAGGGTTTCTCTTGGACGTACTCGTTATCTCATTAGAATCCACTCAATAACTACGAATATCTAAAAATTACATGATGTGGCAGCTAGAAGGCGCAAGAGAAGATAACTGTTTGATGTCACTGAAGACATTGTAATATACACACGGAATGACAATAATCTGTGTCACCCATCCAGCGTTGCCCAGTTAAGGCTGGGAATTAAGGTCATTTCTGATAACAGTCTGGCTTCGTTAAAGCTGGTGAGTCATTACAGGTGCCATAATAATAACTTCTTTCGCGTTTGACGGGGTATCTAGAGTCTACCTTGTTCGCCTGCCATCAGGTTTAAGGTAGTTCAATCTCTAGATAAGGTTGTAAACCTTTCGATAGCCACCTGGATGGGACAAACGGATCCATCGATCGAAAAAACGAATAAGACATCGCCCCTTACCTCAGCTGTGGATCTACCACAGCAGTGGGGTCACTGGCGTTGCCCATCTTGCAGGTTCCAGAGGGGTGGTAGATGGTGTGGATCTTCTGACGGACCATACACTCCCAGTACTCGTCGGTGTCATACTTGTGGCTAGCACAGAACCGGTTGGGTCTGTCTGCCGGCTTGCCACCCAGTTTCTTCAGGTAGGATGTGCCCATAAACTTCTTGCATAGATTGATTCCTGAAATGGATGTTTCACACATCAATTGAGGTTTTCTATATTCTGGAGTAGACGTAACAGGAGATGGAAGGTGGTTTTTAAACATTACAAATAGAATGGCTATGCTATTGTACACTAGTAATAATAAAGGGGAAGTGAAGGTGTCTGGTGGGTAAGGACCAGTGTTGCCACTTTTCTTTGACAAAAAACGTCCAAAACGGGGTCGAAAAATATCTAAAAACATCTAAATTTGCATGGAAAACATCTTAAAAAAACATCTAAATGGAAAGAGTCACAAATTACTTAGCAATTAATATGACTAACCCTATAGAATCAAGTCCTCATCTTTACCCAAGTCTGCCTTACAAGATCCACAGGAAAATTTTAGCTTGGATGATGAAGTTGAAGCTTCAGATCCAAAATGACTCTGGTATGCTTTAGCTGTTCCAATTTCTTCTGATACCCAATCAGGGAGCTCATAAGTTGAACAGCCTTTTCCTACTCTTATCAGGCCAAATTTTATTGTCAAGATAGCATTTAAGAGGTCAAATTTCATCCTGTTTCTTAGGTTAGATTTGATAAATTCAGTCCAAATGAGAAACATCTAGAAAAACACCTACCATCTTAACGTCAAAAACTTCATCTAAATGCAAGGGAAAACATCCAAAGTGGCAACACTGGTAAGGACAAATGGAGCTGCTGAGGCCGAGTGTACAACAGTTTTTAAATCGTCTTGCCAGATAAGCATCTTGTAAAAAACCTACTTCTAATTCTCCTTCTCCTCTCTGTTAGTATTTTTCTCCTTCTTTTTCTCATTCTCTTCCTTCTTCTCTTGTTTCACCTTTTCCTTTTTCTACACGTTCTTCCTTCTCTTTGTCATACTCCTTTTCTTCTTCCTCATGTCAGTTGGCAACCTTATTATCTCTTTTGATTGTTTCTGTGTCCTGGTCTTCTTATTGTTCGTCTCTTCACTTTCATTAGGCCTTTATAAAATGTTTACATCAAAACGACACTTACAATAATTAATTTGAAAAGCAATTCTAAGAAAATGCCGCCCTGAGAAAATATATTTTTTTTTTACAAGAATGTTAAAATCTGATCATGACTAACAAAAACCTATCATGATATAATCTTATGTGCTAGTGAAGCGCTCACCTCTGACTATAAGGTCGACGTCCTCTTGTTTATGAAGGTAGTTAGGATCAATAATGGGGTAGTCAAAGGGGTCCTTGGATTTCAACTTGATGTACCCAACACTGGCAGGTCTAAGGAGTGAAGACTCGCAGTTAAACATATCCTTGTGTGTCTCTCTCAGGCTGGACTCCTTTAATGTCTGTGGATGGAATTGTCTTTGGTCATCTGAAGCCTCGACAGTTGGAGAGTCACAATAAACAACAACACTTATATATATATATATCCTCCGTCTTCTTCTTTGGAATTGGTTTCATATGCCCAAGTTATCGGTTGTCTCGCCTCCATGAATCGGTAGGTCAGCATCAGATCTTCAAATGTTCCTCAAAGTTCGTCCTGGATGCCTCGTCTGTCTGGTCATATGTTTTCTCATAGTTTTGCTGCAGAAGGCAGTTCTAGAGTATGTGCTGATGTGTTTGGAATGTCGTTTGGCAGGGTCACTGAAAGAAAACATTCGAAAACAAATGTCCCAGGAAACTGATAAACATTAAATGAAAAATGCGAAGAAATAAGTGCAATGTAGGGACATTCATTAGTAAGGATACTTATACGCACAGTAAGATACAGCGATATATTAAGCACATCTCTGAAAGAAGAGAACAAATAATTACAAATGCAGGCACTAAAACGTTATGGGACGGAAATGCAGATCTAGTGGGGTGACCACGTCGCTTATAGACTTCCCTTGTTAATAAAATATGATCAAGTACCTTCTCGCCATGTGCAAATTAAGTGAACAGGTTTAAAAATAGTAAGTTTTAAATAGTGGATTTTATTTCTTGTTTGACGATGAGATAGGGTCAAGGTAATTACCAGTCGCAAAGCTTTAATTAAAAAAAAAAAAAAAATCCTTTACTGCGAAATCGACTATTTATGGAACATTTTGAAGCTGCGTTCTTAGAAGGAGAGATCGCCGAGCTGTCTTCAACAGTGTAGACATCTGTTAGTGACATGTTCTCGTCGAGAGGCCGATACGAATTCCATTATTTTTGTTAGTTACAGACTATTTTGAGATTTTGTCATTTATTCCAGAACGGTGTGGCGATATTACCGGTGGCAAATATCAGCACGAAGAGCTTTGATACCAAAATGAGTGCAGTTTATTTGGAACGCTGGTAGTTGGGATTTTAAAAGTAAGTTCCTAATCCCTAATCCAATGTGGATGCATAATATTTACATAAATTTACACATATTTCTTTTAAACAGCATTAAACGTCTTCGCTCAAGTACCAAAAGGAAATGAAAGTCAACATTTTTAAAGTATGTATCTACCTTTTATCAGCATACCGATGTGTTGTGGACTATCTCTCAGTCATCAAGAAAGAAAATAAGAGCTTTTGAACTGAACTGCTGTAGAAAGATTCCCAGAGTACCAGGAAGCAAGAAGACACGAAATCTCTTCTTTGTCTTTGCCTTCACCAGCTGTAAACTCCCACGGTAAGTTCTAGTTGTTCGTTCACGTCTGAACTTTAATCGTGTTTCAGAACCTGAGTATTGCGTGCACTTCTGTTTTACACAGATCTTACTGTTGTATGTGCAGACTGTTGGTTCATTGCCTCTCAGGTAGATTCACTCTGACTTCAAAGAAAGCTCCCAGCTAGTCGCCTCTTACGACTTGCTTGTTAGGGAGGTCTCTTCTTGTTTTCCCAACGACACAGGGCAAGGAGTATAGGGAAAATACAGTTACAGTATCCTCAGTCATGCAAGTATCAATGTCCATATATTTCTCCTAATATTTTCCACATTCCTTCATTTTCGTTAAGCAATAGCGATTCCTGTCAACCCCCCCCCCTCCCCCACTTCCCTTCCCATATTACGCATTACTTGTGTATTTATCTCTTCAGCTGTTTATTTGATTTCGATTCATGGTGTTTCTCACCTTGATAGAGACTGTTTGAAACATCGGCGTTTTTGCTTGATGTTAATTTTTCTTTGTTTACCTCCGTCCTGACATGAATAGTTACTGCTGTGTTGAGTTACATCTTGATAACATCGTAATTTACGTTATGTTCAGTTGTCCTGATACGTTAGTAAATGTTGTGTTTAGTTATGTCTTGATATCATGGATAGTTTACTTTGTGTTTAGTTGTGTCTTGGAAACATGGATAATTTATGTTATGTTTAGTTATGTGTGTATTTCATTGATAGTTTATATTGTGTTCAGTCACATCTGAATATCATAGATAGTTTATGTTGTGTTCAGTCACATCTGGATATCATAGATAGTTTATGTTGTGTTCTGTCACATCTGGATATCATGGATAGTTTATGTTGTGTTCTGTCACATCTGGATATCATAGATAGTTTATGTTGTGTTCTGTCACATCTGGATATCATGGATAGTTTATGTTGTGTTCAGTCACATCTGGATATCACAGATAGTTTATGTTGTGTTCTGTCACATCTGAATATCATGGATAGTTTATGTTGTGTTCTGTCACATCTGGATATCACAGATAGTTTATGTTGTGTTCAGTAACATCTGGATATCATGGATAGTTTATGTTGTGTTCTGTCACATCTGGATATCATGGATAGTTTATGTTGTGTTCAGTCACATCTGAATATCACAGATAGTTTATGTTGTGTTCTGTCACATCTGGATATCATGGATAGTTTATGTTGTGTTCTGTCACATCTGGATATCACAGATAGTTTATGTTGTGTTCAGTCACATCTGGATATCATGGATAGTTTATGTTGTGTTCTGTCACATCTGGATATCACAGATAGTTTATGTTGTGTTCTGTCACATCTGGATATCATGGATAGTTTATGTTGTGTTCAGTCACATCTGGATATCATGAATAGTTTATGTTGTGTTCACTCACATCTGAATAACACTGACAGTTTATGCTGTATTTGGTTTCATCTGGACATCATGGATAGTATATGCTGTATTTGGTTTCATCTGGATACTATGAAGGATTGTTTATGTTGTGTTCAGTCACATCTGGATATCATGGATAGTTTATGTTGTGTTCAGTCACATCTGGATATCATGGATAGTTTATGTTGTGTTCAGTCACATCATGATATCATGAATAGTTTATGTTGTGTTCGGTCACATCTGGATATCATGAATAGTTTATGTTATGTTAAGTCACATCGTGATATCATAGATAGTTTATGTTTTGATTTGTTCAGTCACATCATGATATCATGGATAGTTTTTGATGTACTCCACTACGATTGGATAGAATGGACCATACATACCTCCTCGCTGTAGCCGAAATTCTTCAGTGCCTCAACTCTCCACGGAGTTTGATGGAACATGATCTGTAGATCCGGGTAGTCGAGCTTCTTGCTCTCCTCGCCCGTGTTGTCAAACACCTGTACTTCCACGTAATGGCTGGAACTGAGCACACCTGTCCAAACGGGAGATGGAATAAGTGAGTCAATCGATGTTTTATTCTTTTATTGAAACCTAAATCAGAAGTCTAAATAGATTTCTCCTCCATACATAGGAGCTCTAAACAGCACCATTATTAGGTTTGGGTGAGCGATCTATTATACACTATATGTAAGTAACAGGTAAACGACCACATTGTCCACCATTAGTAAGAAGAAAGTAAACGACTACATTGTCCACCATTAGTAAGAAGAAAGTAAACGACTACATTGTCCACCATTAGTAAGAAGAAAGTAAACGACTACATTGTCCACCATTAGTAAGAAGAAAGTAAACGACTACATTGTACACCATTAGTAAGTAACAAGTAAACGATCACAATAAACATCTTGTGACTCTTTGAGATCTGGTGCTAATACAAAGAAAACCTATGAGGGGCTGGATGGGGGGCTTAGCCTCATCTTGTCATCAGGATGGAATAAGGGGTCTACATCTTGTTATAGCAGCTATGAGTTATGAGTTAGGTACCGAAATCGTAGCACTCATGACATTCACATAAACTATCTGACCCTATATTCAGCAGTAAACACAGAGTTCCACTTCTGATTCCACCACTAACAGTCTGATTGTATGTCCGGCTGGCTCTTATCTGGGTGTCGGTTAGATCCCCTGGTTGCCCCTCTTCAAAACAGCCAGTGATAATATTATGCCGAATGGCCAACAACAAAATAATAATGTGATATCTCTCAAGAAAAATTTTGAGAAGATTATGTCTTTTCCTATTAAGAAAGGGATTTGGTTGGGGCAGCTTGAGCTCAACAGCCTTATAAATTTGAACAAAAAAGTCATGCACAATAGATTGCACAATTTATTGCCTTTTATATTTCGCTATATCTCATCAGGTGAATACTTCATTGACAATCGATAAAAAAAAAATCAAAAGGCTAAGAGCATATCCTTTTGTCTGCATAATTCTGGACTGAATTGGCTGATAGCTGACGCTTCCGCAAATCTCAGTAATCTACGGTTAGCCGAACTGTAAATAATTCCAAATGAATTATCCTTGTTTACAACGTGCTCGGAATTTTGAAAATGGCACTCAATTACTGGTTATGGATTTTGTCCACCAGTCACCTGATTCGTTGTTGTTGGGTTGTTGTTAGTTTTCTGCATTGCTTTTGCCATCCTTAGTGGAATATGTTCAGCAACCTGTTTCTGCAGTCGTCGATCAGATCTGCCTACATATGCAGCGTTACAAGTGCATTTAATTTATTTGGTAAATACAGTTAGATTTGGACACTGCTTCTTTCACTGGTGGCATAGAATTACAGTGGTTTAAATCTGATAACAGCCATGGCTTCATAAAACGTTTAATCGACTGCTTTTCTAAGCCGGTAAACGTTGCATAACATCATCTCCGCGAAACGTTAGATGAATATAAACTGTTATTCTTGCACCGACATTTCTTTGGTAATTGGTTTGTACCAGTGAAAGAACCAGTCTCAAACTGACAACGGAAAACCATTGCTTGAGTCTTATAAATTGACAGTGGGAAGAATGGGTTTGGATTTAAGGTTCTTTAGTCAGAAAGTTCTAGGGCAACTGTCTGAGAACATGATCCTTAGTCATAAACGGCTATCGGGATCATCTCTGCATTTGTGATGAGGTCAAAATTACATCAGTCATGTTACTAGTTGAGACCATTGTCACATATCACACCTGTCACGTGCCTGATTTAAGGATTTCTCCTTAAGAACCAACAGCACTCAGAAATAATTATGTTGAGTCGTTTGGCTCGTATTGGTCTAAGGGATGCCCCATGGCCAATATACGCTCAACTTATTTCTGGAGTAGGGCAACTCAAGTTTTGGCACTACAAAATATATCTGTATATGAATACAATATTCCTAGGCACACTTGGCTGGACACCCCCACTACTATTAAAAGAAAGCCCCCAGGTTATGATAGTTTATTATCATAACCATGTTAACACATATAATATTTATGATTCATACACACAACAATGCTAAACACTTAGAAAGGTGAAATAGAGACACCTACGTCAGCCGTGAAAATGAATGCATGTAATCAATTCAGCATATATATATATATATATATATATATATATATATATATATATATATATATATATATATATATATATATATATATATATAATAGTGAAGTAGATGCCAGATCTCAGTGGATGGATTCCAGAATACAACGACCAGACCTAACAGAAATCTACACAGTCAGAAAGTCCTGGAGGTAGCACATCTTCATCCTCGGAATCCAGTGGAGCTGTGGGGAATATAGCATAAACTGGACTTATCCTAGTTCCACTGTTGATGCTTCCCTCAGCTCCTGGTGATTCGACTGTCTTTGACCCTGGTAATTCTGCTTCAACTGGATCAGGTAGTGGAAGAGTACCTCACCAGAGAGGACACATCAACTGTACCGGTACTCAGCAAGTCTCTCCCACCGGTCAGGTCACAACACTGTCACTGAGCTCCACAAAGCTCCTGAAGACTGATCTTTTCGAGTATGGATATACTGTCTACGAATGTTCACCTGCCCTGGAGTCACTCACATGCTCTGGCACTGTTAGGATGTTTGGGGTATATGGCACCCCATAGTGATGATGTCAGGAACTTCACAGGTGTTAGCTGGTGGGTAGTTGGTTGATAGTTGGTTGACTGATGGTTGGTGGGTGTTGGTTGGACTGTGATTATTCTGCCAGCTCTTCACAAAGGTTTCACATTGTCAGGAAAGAACTCAGAATTAGTCATCCCATCTGCACACAGACACCAATATTTACGGTCAGTACCTCTGTTCCCTACGACTCTCAAGCCAGTTCCACACATCCATTGATCTGGGTCAAACACACTCAACGCAGCTCTGGCTGTCCAAGTACTGACCTAAATTCTCTGTCCCCATTCGTATGCACAAACTTCCGTTGTTAGTTTAAATGGTACACACTTGTAGGGTCATTATCTTTACCATTATGTGTGGGTTGTTTAGGGCATAGGCCATTTAGTCTGTACAGGAGAAGGTCTTAGTTCGAATCCGCTTCTATGGAGAACAAGAACGGTAGAACTATGTGTGATCCCATAGCCGATTCTGATCTCTCTACAGCAGTGACCACTTTAACAGACATCATTTAAGGTACTCGCAAACTATAATTAACTTACCCAAGCATAAGAAAAGTCCTAGACATTTCAGGCCGCCTTCTTAATGTAAAATTTACTGGGGCGTCGATGCATACATCTGATCTCTAGGAAAACAGGCAGAAACAATGCCGCAAAAATTCAAGACAGGCGTCGGTAAGAAGAAGTTCCTTGTATACATGAGCAGGGAGTAAACCGGTTTCTAAGAATATACAATTAACTCCAGCAATATTTATCATACAGTTACACATTTGAAAATGACGCTAAGTCAAAGCAACTAGAAGATGTAGATATTATAATTTTCTCCGATAAAGGCATATATCTATATAAGAGACTATATACCTTTCCGGACGAGTCCAAGTTTGAAAGTTTTGTCGAGCACAGGTAATACAGGTCCCGACTCTTCTAGGGGTGATGTGTAATGGCTTGTCATTCCTTGACAACCAAAAGCCAGGAGTCCGGGTATTTATAATAAGTCTGCTAGGAAGCAGATGTAACAAATGATCATTGAGTCGATAGGCTACCAACCTCAGCAGTAAAGTTAAAGATCTTTGGCAATCATAAGTGCTCGTTATTGTGTTAATATTACAGAAAAAGTAATAGTCGTTATCATCGTGTTCATAGCGGTAGCAAGAGTAGCAGTAGCAGCTGCAACACCAGTAGTATTAGCAGTACTAGCAGCATTAGTAGTATTAGTGACATACATACATTCACTCATACAAACATTTATGCATAAATACATACATACACACATATACCCACGTGCACACACACATGCATAATAATACATATATTTATACGCACACATACATACACCCACATATATACGTGCATACACACATTATATATACATATACACATAGACCCATACACACACATACACAACCCACATATATATGTGTGCACACACACATATATACATACATACATACATACATACATACATGTGTACATACATACATACATACATACATACATACATACATACATACATACATACATACATACATACATACATACATACATACATACATACATACATACATACATACATACATACATACATACATACATACATACATACATACATACATACATACATACATACATACATACATACATACATACATACATACATACATACATACATACATACATACATACATACATACATACATACATACATACATACATACATACATACATACATACATACATACATACATACATACATACATACATACATACATACATACATACATACATACATACATACATACATACATACATACATACATACATACATACATACATACATACATACATACATACATACATACATACATACATACATACATACATACATACATACATACATACATACATACATACATACATACATACATACATACATACATACATACATACATACATACATACATACATACATACATACATACATACATACATACATACATACATACATACATACATACATACATACATACATACATACATACATACATACATACATACATACATACATACATACATACATACATACATACATACATACATACATACATACATACATACATACATACATACATACATACATACATACATACATACATACATACATACATACATACATACATACATACATACATACATACATACATACATACATACATACATACATACATACATACATACATACATACATACATACATACATACATACATACATACATACATACATACATACATACATACATACATACATACATACATACATACATACATACATACATACATACATACATACATACATACATACATACATACATACATACATACATACATACATACATACATACATACATACATACATACATACATACATACATACATACATACATACATACATACATACATACATACATACATACATACATACATACATACATACATACATACATACATACATAGACACATACACACATTCATAAATACATTCTATATACAGACAGAGAAATAGAGAGAAATTGAGAAAGAGAAAGAGAGAGAAAGAAAGAGAAAGAGAGGAAGAAATAAAACGAGAGAGATAATGAGAGAGTGAAAAACTAAAAAGAGAGAGATATAGACATACTGAGACACACAGAAAGAGAGAAAGGGAGACGCAAGAGAAAACACTAACAAAGAGGTTGGTGGCAAACATGGTTCACCTGTTCCAAACAGTTTAAGCTTCAGCCAGGTCCACAGGGATTCCTGTATTTCCTTGGTAGCACTGACCACCTCATCAAGACCGATGGAGTACTCAAAGAACAGATGGTCCTGCAAGTTCTGACCCACTGGCAGGTCAGCGACTACTGGGATCTAAGAAATTTGAAGTTCATTAAGTCGTGTCAAATTAAGTAAAAGCATGTCTGGTCTATCTCTGCCACTGCTGGTTCCAAGCCAGTATCGGAAAGGAGGAGAGTTGGACACAGGGCCAGTTTCTCCACCAGGTTAAAAACTATATCGGCTACAGAAACTTGCAGGAAAATAATAAAAGTAAAGTAAAGATCCCTTTTCACGCCTTAGGGGCATCGGGTATATGGAAGAACGCCCCATATTTTTACAAACCAATCGGCACCAATCGGTAATGTGGTCAGCATTAAGCAGGCCGTCTTTACTTCCCCAGGACTGCCATTCTAGGCTGGGTCGACCTGCGACGCCCCATACCACGTTAAAAATCCACACAGCCAGCAGTGGGTTTCGATCGCGGTACCTTGGATTACGAGTCGGACTCGCAACGCCTAAGCAACGGACGCCGGATAGGAAATATGATAACTGGCTGGGTAATCACTTGTATCGACAGCTTAAAGACAGATAAAGATGGTGCTATGTTAAACATATTCTGATACGAGATGAACATTCACTGACATCGGAATTAGAGGGATCATGCATAATAGAAACCTTAATGTGAATGTTGATGAGAGAAGCCAGAGTGTATGCACAGAGTAGAACTGAAGGATAAATAGACTGCAAGCCTAAAAGGACGATGGCTGAATCAAATGGCTGGCTTAAGCTACAACATCATCATTGTGAAAGTTGCCCTACGATATAGAGTCCCTTTACGTGTGTGTGGCTAATGAGGTTGAGATGGGAGAATTTATTGATCGGCCTAAAGTGCTACCATGATAACCCTCAGTAATTACTAACCATGACTCATATTTTTACTGCTTTCCATAGATCTAGGTTCTTAGTGTTCTAGATTATTTCAATTTATGATCTTCTATGATATTATGTGTATGTGTGTGTATGTGTGTGTGTGTGTGTGTGTGTGTGTGTGTGTGTGTATGTGTGTGTGTGTTTAAATACACAATTTCTCTGGGTCTGTCTCCAACACTTTCCTGCTGATCGTACCAGTCTTAAATATATTTTCAAATGCTTCCTTTTTTCCTTCACATGCCCAGCGTAGAGACTTGTGTGTCTTTTAGTACAATTTCAACGTATTCTTGTCCATTGTTGTCCAAAGTAATATGTGAAATTCACTACCACCTTCCCTTTTCAAAATCCATCAAATATCGTGATAATGTGTTTTCTCATATGCCAGGTTTGCAAATCTTACACCAAAAAAAAACAGACTGGACAAAATATAATGATTATTATGACATTACACAGATAAAAAAATTCATCGTGTAAGGTTAGAATTTGTTTCTATCAAACAGATGAACTATTGTTTCCCTGTGAAAAAAAAAAGAAAAAAAAATAATTTCCTACGGAGATTTGAAAGTTAAAAACAAACTATCTATGATTTGCTCGTGTGTGTGTGTGTATAAATAAAAAAAAGGGGGAAAAAAAGGGGGAAGGGGGGGGGGGAAGGGGGTTGTGCGTGTGTGTGTGTGTGTGTGTGTGTGTGTGTGTAAAAGTATTTGACCCTGACACTTGAGAGGCTTCTGCACAAGATCGGATACATGGCAAACGTAAATCGGAAGAGGAGCAGCAACTTGCGAGACTTCAAGAAGAAGGGCAGCAAAACAGCCAGGACAGGATAGAAGGACCTGTAATAGGGCACGAACGGCTCCAGCTGACGGACCGTGCTGCTGGCGTCACCAGGTCGGGCTAACGATGCGTTAACCCAGCAGAAAAAATGGCAGTCTAGATGTAAAGTATGTAACACAAGGGGCCGACAGATGTTATAAGAATGAAAACAGTGAAAGAAGATAGAAAGACATGAACATTCAGTATCTAATAAAGGTGTGAACTTACTCCAAGCTCCTCTAAGTGCTTCCTTGGTCCAATGCCGCTGAGCATGAGGATCTGTGGTGAGCCGACTGCTCCACCAGAGAGGATGATCTCTTTGTTTGCTCTGACTCTTTCCTTTCTTCCATTGTAGATAAACTCAACTCCCACCGCTCTCTTGCCCTCAAACAGGATCTGGACCATGTAGAGTAGATCAGTCAGTCAGGTTTTCAATAAACTTTGGGATCAGTTAAACAAGCAATCAATTAAAGTGGCAAACAAAATTGAAAAAAAATAAGAAAAACAAAAATAATAATAACTATAGAGTCAAGTGGTCACAAATGATTAGTTAAAATGGAAAATCAAGAAAATATGTAGCCAGTGAAGAGATAATTCAAAAATAAATGATCAGTCAAAGTGGGAAATCTTTGATTTTTTTAAAGTAGCCAGTCAAGAGAATAAAAAAAAAAAAAAAACATTATAATGGATAAATCAAAGATGAAAATCATTTATATAGCAATTGGATTATGGAGACAGCAGCAGCTACCTTCGAGAATGAAATTCTGTGGACCCCTACAACACAGTTTGATGACCTGGACTTCGCTGATGATATTTCATTTCTATAGCACTCACGGAATCAGATGGAGATAAATTCAACACACTTGATGAAAGTCGACACACATTTTGACTAAACATCCAATAGGGGAAGACAAAGACAACCAGGCAAACAGCAGTATCGTTCCTGTTAATAATATCCCACCCCAAGATGTCGAGTCGTAAACCTAATTGGGCAGTAATGTGGATACAGATTTTAAAATATGAATGTAAAAAGCAAAATTAGTTTTCACAGCACTAGGGCAATTGTGGAAGTCAAAGGAAATTAAAAGTTACGCTAAACTTAAATTGTTCACCCTTATGTCAATCCAATACTGCTGTATAGAACAGAAAATTGGAGAACAGCAATAAAAGCAATTACTTATAGACTGCACACATTTATTGATATCTGCTTGCGATGAGTAGAGGAAATTGTATCATAGAATCACTATGTTGAGCTTTGTCAGAGAACACAACAGCTAATTCAGAGGCAGAGAAGAGACGCTGGCATTGAATATGACACACGTTGAGAAAACAATTGAAGAGAATGACAAAAAGGTATTGGCAATGTAACAATATTATCATCATCATCATCATTAGGTGCCTTGCCGACTGGCGTGGGCGCTCATACCTCTCCACAATCTTTGATTCACAGCTGCGTGTTTCAGTTCGTGTGTTCAAACCCTTTCTACGAGATGACAAAAGGTTGTCAAGAATCTGTTCGAGATGTCTTCCTTTGTCTCTCTTTCCATAGATCTTTCCAGTGGTTAGAACATGTTTAGCTCTCTCTCTTCTCATAGCGTGACAGAAAAATAAAATGATGACTGTCTCTTTCTGATCTTTGTGATAAATTGGCTCGAGCACTATCCTCTTTCAACACATATGGGCTGCTTTTCTTAGCTGCCCCAGGAATTTTAAGTATTCCTCAGTAAAACCACATCTCCGCGGCCTCAAGATATTGTTCAGCTTGTTTATTAATTGTCCAGGCTTCTCAACTGTATGTTAAAACTGGTTCTATATAGCAAGCGAGAATTCGTGTGCTGACCTCAAATGACACGGATTTATGGCGTAGAATTTTTTTCATTTTAAAAAATGCAGTTTTGGCTTGTCCTATTCTGTTCTTTATTTCTGTGATACATCTTCCATCGGATGTTCTCAATGTGCCTAGATACTTAAATTTCTTTGCTTGTCCCAAAATAATGTGTTTTTGAATCAATCAGTTTAATTGCGGACATCGCCATAACTTTTCCAAGTCCCCGATTGACGAAGATTCTGTCTCAACCAGGTGTTACCAATTATCATGTAATGTGACTCAGCCCAAGCTATTCATCTTTTACCTCTCTCATTCTTCCCTCCTAGGTGATAGCCACCCGTTAATCCACAAACATTTTAACTTCCAACCTTTGCGTTAAAATCGCCCAATATTATTGTTACTTCGAAATTACTGAACTGACCAAAAGCCATGTCCAAATTTTTTTAATTTCGTCAATGTCATGTTCTAAGATTTCTACATTAAAAGAAAATAGAAACAGAGGCAGCCAAAACACACACACACAACACACACACACACACACCCACCCACCCACCCCACCACACACACACACACGCACGCGCGCACACACACACACACACCCACACAAACACATTTTAAAGGGAGCTAAACATTGAAGTTAAAATGACAGGCAGGACTTGCGGTGAGCTGCATGCTATAGCAAAGAATAAAACAACTGTGAGTGGGTTGGTTGAGGGCCTATGCTCCACTGGGAGACAGATGGCAGAAGGGGATCCTCACACAGAAACAGTCCACATGCCCTTGTCACTTTAAAGCTTCGTGTATATACCATATAGTACTGTCACATATATCCACATACTCTAGACATTTTTAACCTTCGTGCAATTACCATATAGTACTGTCACACAGATCCGCACACCCTAGTCACTTTAAAGCTTCGTGTATATACCATATAGTTCTGTCACATACATCCACACACCCTAGTCACTTTAAAGCTTCGTGTATATACCATATAGTACTGTCACATATATCCACATACTCTAGTCACTTTAAACCTTCGTGCAATTACCATATAGTACTGTCACACAGATCCACATACTCTAGTCACTTTAAAGCTTTGTGTATTTACCATATATTACAGTCACACAGAAACATTTTAGTTAGCCTGGTCTCGTAAAACCACCAGCATGTGCTCACAAATTGCTTCAAACAAAAACAATTCACGTACCCTGGTCACGTGAGAGTTGATCTTTACGTGCAAGTTCTCCCGGGACAGTACTGGATGCAAGTAGCCACGTGACGAGCTCCATCTGACCCCTTTGTAGGAGTTGGACTGTGTGTGGGATATACCTGGCAGACCAAAAAAACATGTTCATAACGACGATAGCAGAAAGATAGAGCACTTCGATAAACACTTAACCGGCTAAGGAATCACCAGAAAATAACAATCCTAAACCGCCAAGCAAGAGTTCTGAACCAGATATACTAACTGATGAATTAGAAAGTCATTAAGCAATATCCTAAATATAATGGGATAGGAGCTGATAGATGACTAATAGAAAATACTCCAAGCAGCAGGTGAAGGGAATATTAGATGGCTAAATTGAATATCTAATGCAGCATGGATACAACAAACTGCTACCATAGACTGGTAAATTGCAATATTTATACCATCGTGGAAGAACAAAGATGCAAGCGAGAATGCGATCAATACCCAGGCATCTCTCTTTTAATTCATGTTTAAAAAAAAAAGTGTCTGCCCAGATAACAGAAATAGTCCTGATAACTATGATAGAGCTACTTTTACCAGAAGAACAGAGGTGATTTAGGATAAATTAAAGAGGCACAGTTGCAATCTCCACACTGAAACAGTCAATAGATTAAAACATCGGATAAGATAAGAACATTTTTGTGACATTCGTAGACCAGGAGGCCGAGTCAATAGACACCTTTTAGAGAAAGTAAATTGCTCGATCTGGAGTTAGCAAACACCGGAGTGTGCAGAAGTTTATATGGGATTGTATAAGCGTAGTTAGAATACATGAGGGAACTTCAAACCAGGAGGGAAATATCAGTAACATCCTTCAATGAATTATTCTTTGCTAAAGATAAGTCCTTGATACCAGACAAATACATGAAACTGCAAGATCTCACAACCACAAAAAACAATGTAAAACTTATAATTTGAGAATCAACACTGAAAATATAGAAGTAATCTTATTAGGAAGCAAGAAGCGGAACCAAAATATGCAATCAATGGCAAAGGCATTAACAGATATCTAATTTAAATATAGGGACAATTTTATTTCGCTGAATATGATAAATTAGATGAATAATTTACCATCTGTTGCAATAAAGCAAACCAAGTTTTGGGGCAGCTACCCCCTCCCCCCCCCCTCTCTCTCTCTCTCCTACAAGACAATCCTAATTAGCCCAAAGAAACATAATTTCGACAAATGCTACCAGTGCCAGACGTTTTCACAAAACAGAAAATAACGTTAGTAACCAAGTAAATTAGATGTTTGCAGATGGCTGCAGGAGTGAACAGAAGAGAGACAGATATATATATATATATATATATATATATATATATATATATATATATATATATATATATATTTTGGAGAGAGAGAAAGAGCCAGAGAAAGAGAAAGAAAGATACAATCGGGAATGAGGTCATTAGAGAAACAAGTCAGCACATAAAAAATATTATAAATTTCATAGGATGACAGCAACTAAACTGGTGCGCCCACTTAGAGAGAATACCATGAGACGCCTCACCATACAGGCCAAATAACAAAAAATGAGAGACGAAAAACACAATGAAGACCAAGAACAAGATAGGAAGATAACATCAGAGAAACTACAACAGCATGACGTGTCTATGGTCGAAGTGGCCAGAAAAAGCCAGAAGCAGAGCCCTATGTTTTCCTCGACACTGAAGCCGTAAAAGAAGAAGTGAAGAAAAGAAGAAGACACAATGACAAATCCATAAGTCACCAAACACTGGACTACACTTCATAACCGTTCTTAAGTGTCCCAAATTCATTTATCCCTGGTCCCGACTTATGGTCACGTTGTAACCGTTCAGTGTCCCATTTTTATTTCTTCCTGGTCTGTACTTCAGGTCACGTGGAAACCGTTCTTTAGTTCCCATATTCATACCTTCCTGGTCTCTACTTCAGGTCACGTCGTGACCGGTCTTTAGTGTCCCATATTCATACCAGGCTGGTCCTGACTTCAGGTTACGTGCAATCGTTCTTTGTTGTCCTATATTCAGACCAGCCTGGTCCCGAATTTAGGTAACGTCGTGACCGTTCTTTAGTGTCCCATATTCATACCAGGCTGGTCCTAACTTTTTTGTCAAGTCGTAATTGTTCTTTGTTGTCCTATATTTATACCTGCCTTGTCCCGATTTAGGTCACGTCGTTGTCGTCCCAATATAATCATAAAGTCAAACTGATCAAGAGAAGGCATTCGACCGTGTAGACAGAGATGTGCTGTGGTGAATTCTTGACGATTACGGAGTGCAGGGTCAATTATTAGACAACATCAGAGCCCTCTATGAAAAAAGTGAAAGTGCAGTAAGAACATCTAGTGGTCTTTCTGAATGGTTCAAAGTCACAACTGGTGTCAGACAAGGATGTGTACTGTCACCATTATTTTTCATAACATACATGGATAAGATCACTGTAGAAGCAAACCCAGACGTGTATGCTATAAACGAATTACTTTTTGCTGATGATCAAAGCATACTGTATCAAAATGAATATGATCTACAGGAACATCTGACTACTCTCAACAACAGCTGTTTACAACATAATATGAGAATCAGTACAGAAAAAACAGAAGTTACGAAGATCAGCAGAACACATAGGCCACTGAATATAAATGTTGGAAGTGCCAAAATCAAGCAAACCAAAGAGTTCAAATACTTGGGCAGTATATTTACAGAGGATGGAAGAATGGACAGAGAGATAGAAACAAGAATACAGAAAGCAAATGCTGTCACATACCAACTATCACCTCTGCTTAAACATCCAGATATAACCATGAAGACCAAAAGACAATTGATAAACACCATATTCATTCCAACACTCTGCTACCAGTGCCAGACATGGACAATCAACAAGACCCATGAAAGAAAAATAGAAGCCTGTGAAATGAAATGTCTAAGAAAAGCAGCGAATAAGACCAGACTAGACAGGATAAAGAATATAGACATTAGAAACACTGTCAAAACTACGCCATGTTTAGACTACATAGAACATCAAAGAATGAAATGGTTTGGACATCTAACCAGGATGAAAAATGATCAAATAACATCACAAATTTTCAACCAAAGAAGCTCAGGATATAAGGCAAGAGGAAGACCAAGGAAACTGTGGATTGACGGGGTCTCCGAAACCTGCCAAAAGCATGGCCTCAGAACATCAGATGCTGCCCGCCTTGCTTATGACAGGAACTTGCATCTCCCCACAACGCTTAGCGGCATACGTGGAAGGAAAAGGTAAAAGTAAGTAAGTAAAGTAAACTGATCCTATCGCCATTTGAACAATCAGAATTCTCCTGCTTCAGCTAACTGCAGTCATGGAAGGGATCAACTGCAAGGCAAGCTATATGGCTATACGTTAAAAAGTGTTTCTGGGATTTGTAGCTGCTTGATTCTCATTCCTTTCGTATGCAACAGATTCTCGAATCTCGAAATTAACACAAGGACTCATAGACTGCTTTATCTTAACCTGTGTCACTGGTGTCGACATAAAGATATCTTTGGGAGTGCTTGGGGAATGGGTTCAACCCTTTACACATTTTCTTTACTATTGGATTTCAAGATACCTAAGTCCGGTGTGAGTGCTTAGTAACAATATTGTGTTAAATGACAACACATAATGATAACTGAACATTAAAACAAAACGAAATGACAAAAAAAAAAAAAAAACTTCAATGCATCGGGCCAATTTGACCTTTCGCAAATTTTCTTGAAGTGATGGACAAAGACTGGGCGACCTCAATAGTTTTCGGGGTGTGGGTGATGGCTCAAGGGGTGAAAGCTCCAGGTAATGGCGTCCCTGCCAGTTGTCGACACAGGCTTCTTAACCGTTATTTCCTTCTAAGCATCGTCTGTCTGGTAGCAGACATGAGATGTCATTGGTTCAGTTCGGGTAGCAAAGGCATGTGTGGGTTTCTGTTGCCAAGAAGTTGAGTTTGTTGCCTAGTCGTGGGTTTGTTTTATGAGTGGTAGACTACCAGAAAGATTCCTGGTTTTCGTGCTTTGTATGTCACTCTTGAAAGGCGACTAGCTGTTTCTGTGGAGAGAGCTCGAGTGACATCTGATAAAACCCTGGGATATGAAGACAATCCTCTGGACTTCAACCTTCTAGAAATAGCCTACACGTTTTGGCAACATGTGTTAATTTGCGCTCATCGAGACCCTCGCCAATACATAGTCATCTTTGTAATTTAGTATCAAGTCAGGGATGGAACTGATAATTATGTTGATGATTATGTAAATACAGAAACTATCGATAAAACGATGATACGAACCCTTCATTTTCTCAGCATTCGGATCTGTGACCTGGAAGCCGAGTTCAAGGCCGGCATTGATAAGTATGTCTGTGAGTGGCATCGTGTGGGGTACGGAGACTTTCATTGGTCCACCAGTGCTGTGGTACTCTGGAATATCAAATCAGACCATGTGAACAAGAATCACTGATCGATTGTTGACAAAATAACGTCAATGCAAATAACAGCATTGGAGAGAAAGCTGGAATAAACTATGTCTGGATTATACTGACAGATAAAGAATGAAATCGTTCGGCCATCTAGTGGGAATGCAGCCAACCAAACTGCATGTGAGACCTTTTACAGCAGAATACCAGGGGGAAAGGCGAGAGGAAGACCAAGAAGGGGATAGATAAATCGTGTGGCTGAAACCTGCAAAAAGATGAACAATTCCAGCACTAGAGCCACAAGAGCAGCGCAAAAAAATAAAGTACTGAAAAGCACAACACTGGGCTGCAACCTAATATCAGTGAGTCGACCAAAAAAAATTGTGATAGTGTCCTTACATCGCTTTTGTTGGTCCTCCCTGGGACCTCTTCCCTTGCTGGAACTTGCAATTAAATACTCTGTTTGGGAGGCGATAGTCTGGCACGCGGGGTAGGTGACCAGCCCAACGTAGCATATAATTCTTCAGATGCTAGGCAGGTTTGCTCTATCAAGAGTATTAAGAAGGCTAGGCTGATTTGGGGGCAAGGTTGTTTTTCAAAACGAATGCGAAATCAAATCCGTTGAACCGAAAGGGTCAGATACCAAAACTTAGGTCTTGACTCTTTTAGTTCCAGAAGGTTAAGCATCAGAGGCCCAAGGGGTAGTAAACAGGTATGTGAAATAAATATAGCCCGCGTTATTTGAGCTTCTAGGTAGTAACCTACAAACGTATGAAGAGTTCGTTGGGAGCGAAAGAACTACAAGACACTGTGCCAATCATTATTTTGAGTGTAAACGTAGAAGAAGAATCAGCAACAACAACAGCAACACACACACACACAAAAACAATTTCCTACTTGTGTCCTTGGCCAATTCTGGGTCGGTCATATCTTCAGATTTGAGAAAGAAAGGTAAAACTTCGTCATAGCTCCAGCCCTCGGCGCCGCCGGCCGCCCAACGGTCGTAGTCCAGTCGATGGCCTCGGATCACCACCATGCTGTAGAGGTTGGAGGTGCCGCCGAGACCTCGCCCTCGCGGCCAGTATGCTTTCTGTGTGTAGAGAACATGGACCCTGTTTATCGCGGCTAGTATGCTTTCTATGTGTAGAGAACAGGGACCCTGTTTATCGCGGCTAGTAGGCTTTCTGTGTGTAGAGAACAGGGACCCTGTTTATAGCTGCTAGTAGGCTTTCTATGTGTAGAGAACATGAACATTGTTTATTAGGTTTTTGAAGTTTATCCCAAAATAAATAGAAAAACAAACTATAAATGCAATCGTCGTTCCAACCTTGTACTATCAGTGTCAGACATGGACATTGACTGAAGCCTAACCACTTGAGAAATAAGATGAGGGAGAAAGGCTGTAAACAAAACTAGAAGAGATTATGTGATAAACAAAGACATTACAGCAGCTTTTGGGAAAATGCCTATAATTAAATTCTTTAAAAATAAATACTAAAATGGTTTTTCCATTTAACAAGAATAAATTCAATGATTTTAGAAGGAGGGCGTACAGCATAAAAGTAGAAACACCAAGAGGCAGATGACGACCAAGAAGAGTGTGGATTAAAGGAGCCAGTGATACCTTGAGGACTCCCCAACATCACAGCATACCGAGCAATAAAGCGTGCCCTAGCTCCGATACCATCGTCTGTTAACCTGCGTCGCCTAGCGGCACAAAGATGAACATGGACACAAGAAAAAGAACTTAATTTATTGTATGCATGTACTGCTAGGGACAACAGAACTGTGTCACTGGTTTTGGGAACGTCTATATTATGTTACCACAATCGCACTTTACCTCTCTAACCTGGATCTAAACAACTGGGCTTGCTGGCGTGCTCATCTTCGTATTGTTCGGCCCCTGGCCCTCCTTCTTGATACAAAGCGTTCCGCTATTATTGTTTTTTCGAATCCGCCATTGCTCTTCATTTGACCAATACAGTTCAACTCCGGAGACAAGATGCTGTTTATTGGCCAATCTTCCTTAGAATGTCAGTATTACTTTTGTTCTAAATTCAATGGTATTCTGTGAATCTGTCTATAGCATTTCAGATCAAAAGCTCCTGTTTTATTCCTTAAGGACTGGGAGATAATCAACGACTCACATCTATATGTTGCTACAGAAAAGATACATGCTGTCAAAATTTTAACTTTGATTTTATTGCTGTCCCTTAACCATAGTCTGTCAATGCTGTTTAATCTTTTGTATTGGTATGGTTATCCACCTCTGACTTCTGTCAAACAGTCTCCACTGCTGTTTACTATGGAATCTAGATATTCACTGTTTGTGACCTTTTCATTTTGTTCATCTTTAATTGTTTTTGGTGTGGGTGACGGCCAGTATTTCGTGAACATTTTTTCTTCTATAATTTAAGGACAGATTTTAAACTTCACTGTCTTTTAAAAAGACATTTATAAATATTTAATTTCTGGCTTCCATTATGATTTATTTGGGATAATAATGTGGTAGTTTCTCCTTGCTTTCTACATTCATTTGGCCTTAGACTATGCCCTCGGCCCTCAGCGATCTTTTAGAGTGGCAGGGCAGGTGAGTGCCCTGATCTCTGATGCTCCTGCTCACAACAGAGAGCACCCCAGAGGTGTCCACTTATCCCGGTGGAAAACCAGTCTGCATAGCTGCGTTAGCCAGACCTATCATTTAAATAAAATATATTATTCTATAGAATATGTGACAGAACATATGTGACAGAACATATGTGAGAGAACATATGTGACAGAAGATATGTGACAGAACATATGTGACAGAACATATGTGACAGAATATATGTGACAGAACATATGTGACAGAATATATGTGAAAGAATATATAAAACATTGCACATACACAGTGTGCATATAAATGCGATAGATTTGTAAAATGAATCATGCAAAACTCAGGTTCCGGAACAGTATAATAGTTTAGAATCAGATGAGCAACTCAAACTTTCCGCTGGAGTGTACAACCGGCAAACACTAAGAAGAAGAGGACATGGGATGCTTTATATTTTTGTCACATATTTTCTGTCACATATTTTTTAGAATAATATATTTTTGTATAACTGATATGTATAAATGGTATAAAAAAACAGTATGCATGACGCTGTATAAGAACAATGTTGTCATTATTATTATTATATTATTAACAACATGAAATCAACAACTCAGTATGACAGCCATTGCAGAATGCCTTCATTAGATTAACTGTTTGACGGACAGACAGACAGACAGACAGACAGACAGACAGACAGACAGACAGACAGACAGACAGACAGACAGACAGACAGACAGACAGACAGACAGACAGACAGACAGACAGACAGACAGACAGACAGACAGACAGACAGACAGACAGACAGACAGACAGACAGACAGACAGACAGACAGACAGACAGAGAGCCACATAGAGAGAGAGAGAAAGAGAGATGGCTGGAGGGAGGGAGAGAGAAAAACTACAATTTGTATGACTTTGGTACATTAGTCCTATAGTATCAGACGTGTGTTTTTATACAAACGAATCTGTACTAAATAGAGAGAAGGAAGGAATCAGTCAACATAACTGTACTCGAAACGATCGCATGGGTGGTCAGTCTCCCTCCTCAGTAGCCAATGAAAAGTGCTCATACTGACCGTGCCAGCTGTAACTACTCCACGGATGATGTAGTCAACATAAAGTAGTCTGTCTTCAGTTCTGATGACATAATGCGAGCCAACGTCAATTTTGAAAGCAAAACAAAAGTCAATTTCCGTACGGATTTGAATTCTATCTATCTTCTTTTACCCCACCAGGACATCACACACGCGACAAACACCCGATGACACAAACGGCCACCACGTGGATGAGGATCACCCGTGGAGAGGTCCCAGGAACCTTGTTCAGCAATTAGACCATATTTATTGCTGGGCTATATTGCGGCCCCTGGCAAAAGCCAGGGTGGGGCTTCAAATAACGAAAAATTGCATCCCGGAAAGATGATTTTAATCCTATTCCTCTGAGCAGGCCGAATGAAAGAACAATCATTATATTCAAAGAATTACAAATTTGGCACGCTGGCCTGACTTAGATATGGAGAAAGGGAGAAGGAGAGAGAGGGAAGGAAGTGGGGAAGGAGATAGAAAGATAGACAGAGGAGGAGGGGGGGGGGGGGGGAGACGAAAGTTTAGTGAGTTTAGTGAGGTAAAATTTTCTGTAAGGTATACAACTGTGCATAAAACAATTATGACTTACCCTCTCATTATATCCCTTGAGTCCATGTTTCTGTGGCACCGTGTAATACTCCCAATCAAACTCTGTGTGCATCACCAAGTGCGACTTGCCGGGAGTCTTGATGATGTCGTTGCCGCGGTCGTCACCTCCAGCCTCTAGCAACAGCACGGAGACATCTTTGTCCTCAGACAAGCGACTGGCCAGTACACACCCGGTGGAACCTGCCCCAACTGAAACACACAACAATGTCGTTAATCATTCATCTATGTCAGTTTTAGTTCACCTGTTTGTGGGTTGGTATTGTAGACTCGCTACTTCTCCAACAAACATGTCCTAAAGTACCACTAATTAGGGATTACATGAAGTCTCACTGTTGGGTCCAAAATCGCAAGAACAACACAAATGTCAGTCTGACTGACTTTCTACCCCACTAGGACATCACACAAGCGATAAACACCCGATGACACAAAGTGCCACCATGTGGATGAGGATCGCCGTGGTGAGGTCCCAGAAACCGCGTTCGGACAATTGGCCATATTTATGACCTGCCTATATTGCGGCCCTGGCAAAAGCCAGGGCTGGGCTTCAAATAACAAAAAATTTCATCCTAAAAAAGACGAAAACGACAAATGTCAGTCTCCTGTTCCTTTATATAAAGAGCGGAGGAAAAGGAGGAGGAGGAAGAAGAAAAAGAAGAAAAAGAAGAAAAAAAAGAAGAGGAAGAGGACAAAGAAGAAGAAAAAAAGGAGAAGAAGAAGAGGAAGAAGAAAATGAAAAAGAAAGGAGACGAGGAGAGGAGGAGGGGAAGAAATATAGTAATAACCGTGTCAGGTTAAATTATATATGCGTGTTAATAAAACATGAAAATTAATAGTTGACTGATACCATCAACATATGTCCCGGTTTTAAACCGTTTGGCAGCGTGTATAATGTTGTTAGCAGGTATGAGATGTCCCAAGTTGTGTGATCTCGGCATTTCACTCAGCCTAACTCAGCTGGATGTCGGTTAGTTGTTGTAGGTAACCCCCCCCCCCCTTTTTTTTTTCCTACCCCCACCCCCATGGTTGCAGTCTGTATGATTAACATCACAAGGATGAGAGTCAAACAGGAACAAATCCTGGATACCCCCTTCAACCCTATAGCACAGTTATAGTTACCTGAACTCTGGATAGAGGCTACCCTTGGCACCCGATGATACCCAAAGTTTAAGTCAGCTCGCCAAGGCCAATGGGAACCTCCCACCCTTTACTTTTTGTATGTTTGTGTTCTCCTAATTAATACATTTGGGTTGTGACCCTCCCGGCCTGCTGATCTCGGCTAAACGCTAACCCATGTTCCTAGTTATCTGTGAACGTTTAGGGCAAAAATAAGCGCGTCTTTAAATCTTATGTCTACAGATTCGCATGCACTGTGATTGTATATTGTATTCGATGCTTTTTTTTTTCTTCTAATCCTAAATAAGTGAAGTTGAAAGTAACCATATCCGCACTTTGATAACACCCAGTGTGGAAAGCGAAAAGTGTCACTGTTCGGATGAGCCCAAAGTACAAATCCCCGAAACACTTTTTAGTCTCTCGCTTGGTATTGATGGTGTCTCCCTTGCCGATAGAGGGTCTATTCCTGGTATTCGCACTGCCAACGAGAGCGTCTGCTCTCTCATTGCCTTTCACACCAGCATCCCCTGGGACAAACATGAAAGTGATTTTGCAAATTGCTGCGTGCTAAATCAGATGGGGCTACTGTTTCCATGTGTAGGCCACCTTTATCTTCTGTAGCATGTTCACTGAGTCACTGAGAAAATATGCATTGGTGAACTTCAGCTATTCTAGGGACTTTTTCAAAGCTATGACCTCCATTGGCATGCTGCAGGTGGTAGAAGCAAACGATCCACGATTCTCGCCGTGAAACCCCACTCACTTCGCTTTTCACGAATCGGAAACATTTGTATATATAACAGCATCTTCCGGTGATATCTATTCCTGCACTAATGCGAATACAATGTAATCTAAAATACATACAGGGGTGGGCGATTTTTGCTTGAACTGTTGTGTGAGAATTAAAGTGAAATCTGCTTGGACTTGTTGCCAGCTGCACATCCATTCAATGTTCTCTGAGTTACATATCACCTCACCACTTTATTTTCTAATTCCTTATCTCAACCCGTCCTATGCAATTATTTATTTCTCAGAAATATTTTCTACTTTGTAACATTTCTTCAGTGGGTCAAGAGAGAAAAAAGGAGACAATAACGAACATTACTGTTAAATGCACTCTCGCTTACAAACAGAAAGATAAGTCCTTTCAATTCTAAACGTAATGCCCCGTTGTGCGCTATTGCTGACATCATTGCGCACTGTAGGTTGTACTTTGCCCACATTTAACCGGGTGATAACAGACAAAATGTGTACATCGACTGTCTGCTATTATCTTGCATATGACAGACACTTTGACAAAGAACATTGACGCCAAATGGGCGATAGATGGTAGGGTAAACATTGTCATGAGTGCCGGTATGGAGTGAATAAATACACAACTTTGCAGGTGAGATAGTTTAATATCGGGGCTAAATCACCTGGCAGACTCAGAACTTTAAACGTTTGTTCATACTTCAAGCAAGTACGTAGACTAAAGGATCGTCTTTAGGCCGGTAGCACATCAGGAATATCAGACTTGTGGCTGAGATCAAAGTTTAGCTCTGCAGCACAGGGTGTGTTCAGCAGCACTGGGTCGGTAGTAGAGCAAATTCACAAACAGGGCAAACTCACAAACAGGGCAAACTCACAAACAGGGCAAACTCACAAACAGGGCAAACTCACAAACAGGGCAAACTCACAAACAGGGCAAACTCACAAACAGGGCAAACTCACAAACAGGGCACACTCACAAACAGGGCACACTCACAAACAGGGCAAACTCACAAACAGGGCAAACTCACAAACAGGGCAAACTTCAAGTGGTAAAAACGAATGCAAAACCGGGCGGTGCCATATTGGGTCTGGATGGCTGGTGTGACATCCATGTGGTAGTAGGGCAGCTATGGCGGCGTTTGGGGACCCACCGGTTTAAAAAACCATTTCTGACATATCATTTTAGGTTATTTCAGACACATGATGTTGGGTTCATACCTTTAAAAAACGAATCTACACTTCAGGGATATTGTGGTCAACATTACTGTGACGCCTTTGCGTCACATGACAATGTTTGGTACGCTTTAAGACAAACCAATACTGGAGTAAAGGTTTTCTCTCTTTTTAATTTCGCTGTTGATGCCTCCAAACTACTGGACGTAAATTTGCCTAGAAAAACCATACAACGGCCAGGGGCTGTTGGGATTTGTTCTGCAACGTCCTGTAAAGGATACGCAACTAACCTTTGTGATCCTTTCATTTTCCTTTCTTTGTTTCTTTTTTTTTTGTTTTGTTGGTCTTTCTTGAATCCTTTTTTTAGGTTTTCTTTCTATCTGTCTTCTTCGCAATGAAAAGTTAGCTGCGTATTCTTCACAAGACGTTGCATAACCAATCCCAGCATTGGGGGAGGGAGAGGGGGGGGGGGCGTTGTGTGTTTTTCTAGATAAATTTTAACGTTCAGTAGTTTGCCAGTGCCCCTGAACGGTCCTCTCAGTGTCGCTGTTGAAACAAACGCAAGAGGTTCTACTGCCAAATCGTCTGCAGCTGGGATCAAACCCAGCACCCGGGCATTACGAAGCGCGTTCGCAACGCCTAAGCCACAGACGCCGTTCCTGTACACATTGTATAGGCGGAGGGGGTAGGATGCCAAGCGTTCATGTTGGGGCGCCTCTGTTTCACTATCCATCTCAACGACTCGTCCTCTCTATTTGAAAGCGTTAGCCATGCCCAGCGAGCAGGTCGCCCATTGGCTCGCACGTAGACGACTTCGTCGCATGTTGGGACAGTATTTGGTTCTGTCTCCCTTGATCGCCTCAACAATGCAGGAGACCTTTTCAAGGCATTTAGTTACGAGCGAAACTAAGCTATGTTATTTGGCGCACATTACCATGTCACAATTATATATTAAAGCTTTCTTTAAGAGATGCAGGTTGAACGTTACGATTTTTTCCCCCAGCAAAGCGCGATCGGAAAACATTAGCTTTCACTCGATACGCCACAGAGTGATAACTTCTGACACTGTTATCTCCTCAGTACATGGTGACTTGGAAGTGCACATACACTGAAGATGAGATTATATTTCTGGAAAACAATAACAAACAAATACTAGAGAAACCAGAGCTTGTTACTGGAAAACAAGGTGCCAGTACCCACGGCAGATTGTCAAATAAATGGTGCCGGTAAGCACCGAAAGGAGTCTCGTAGTGCTTGCAAAGGGATGCCTAAAAAGGTGCTGGTATTGCGTACATTTGGGTACCATAAAAAACAAAAACAAAGCACTGATTGGAGTAGCTCCACACTAAGACACAGCTAATAAAGCTAACAAAAGAGCACTGGCTGGAGCAGCTCAGCACTGAGATAAAGCTAACAAAAGAGCACTGGTTGGAGCAGCTCAGCACTGAGACACAGCTAATAAAGCTAACAGAAAAGCACTGGTTGGAGCAGCTCAGCACTGAGACACAGCTAACAGAAAAGCACTGGTTGGATCAGCTCAGCACAGAGACACAGCTAATAAAGCTAACAGAAAAGCACTGGTTGGAGCAGCTCAGCACTGAGACACAGCTAACAGAAAAGCACTGGTTGGATCAGCTCAGCACAAGACACAGCTAATAAAGCTAACAGAAAAGCACTGGTTGGAGCAGCTCAGCACTGAGACACAGCTAATAAAGCTAACCAAAGAGCACTGATTGGAGCAGCTCAGCACTGAGACACAGCTAATAAGCTAACCAAAGAGCACTGGTTGGAGCAGCTCAGCACTGAGACACAGCTAATAAAGCTAACCAAAGAGCACTGGTTGGAGCAGCTCAGCACTGAGACACAGCTAATAAGCTAACCAAAGAGCACTGGTTGGATCAGCTCAGCACAGAGACACAGCTAATAAAGCTAACCAAAGAGCAGTGATTGGAGCAGCTCAGCACTGAGACACAGCTAACATAAAAGCACTGGTTGGATCAGCTCAGCACTGAGACACAGCTAATAAAGCTAACAGAAAAGCACTGGTTGGAGCAGCTCAGCATTGAAACACAGCTAACATAAATTAAAGCTCAGATAGATAAACTATTACGCCTACAAGAAGACTTGGCGCTATTTTTTTAACACACACA